TATTTCCTACACCCACCTGTTTACAGCAGACATCGCCTCCCTGTTCAGTTCCTCTTTTCAAGGTCCCTCTTTCTACAAAAGCTCCCCAGGCTAACTCACCTCTGAAAGAAAGGCTCTTAAAACACTATGATAACAGAAAGAGTTCTGAAAGCATTAAAAATAGGTAAGCCTAATTTCCTGAAGATTTGCAGTTCATGACTGAATGACTGATTAACTTGGCTATGCGCTGAGATATTCTGTTAGCTCTGCAGGTACCTATAATCTCTTGTTAAACATTTTGACAACAACCCATAGGGTGAAACATTTGTCTGCAGATGCTGACTGATGCAATTAAAAACTGTTATTCAATAGAGATTTATCCCTTAGTAAGATAAAAATCTATACATTTTATAAATTTATTGCAATTTGGAGACTTTTATTAATCTGTCAATGTCGTTCCTATCAACCAACAAAGTCAAGAGTTGTCATTGAGGCAGACAACTGCATTAACACTAAGAGTTTAAGCAATTTTAGCTTTTAGGGGAAGCCAAAGGAAAAGAAAAATTCTGCTAAATGCAGAGAGAGAACTGCATGAGTTCTGTCTCCATGCATTTGGCACAGGTGCCAGGTGATATGTAATGTAATCCTCCTCTTACAAAATGGCAGTGTTTTAGACCCCATTGCATAGAAATATAGGTTAGTGTATAAAGTGTAGGTGAAGCCTTTTGGGCTGCAGTATCTTGGGTTGATATGTCTATCTGCAGTTAGATCAGAAAGAGGAAGTTGAGTATTAGAGAAGGGGTTTACAAATTTGCCTTGTGAGACTCCTTGTTTCTATAGGGACAACCTTATCAGCTTTCTTAAGTCTACGCCATCTACCACATGTGAAGTACTGCTGGGAATAGAAATTACTTCATCAAAAGTGAAGACTGATAACCCCGTAGTGTGGGAGATTCATGGTGACTAGACACATACACAACCATGTCAGGATCCTGACCATGGGTCAGGGTCTCACACACTCTAAAGGGTACTGCCTACACAGTTTATAAATCAAATTATTCACCTATGAAGAATCTCTCAGCCAAGTTTGAGGCAGTGTAACACAATCCTCCAGTGAGGTTAACACCCACAAACAGTCAAACTAAACTGAGTTGACTAAGTACTACCTGGTATTTGAAAGTCATATCTTGATATGCAAAAAAAATACAGGAAAGAGAAGGACAAAAAAACCGGACTACATAAAGAAAACAACCACAGCAAAGTTATAACTTCCTTTTCTCTCAAATGGGCACTAACAATTGCAGGAAATTTTGCAAGATAACCCCTTGTCAAAACACAGAGAAAACACAGGAGACAAAGATATACCCAAAACTTTGAACATTATGCTTGCATCATAAACGCTCTATTTTCTGTACACAAAAGATCTAATTTTTAATGAACACGCTTTTCAAAAGTCATGCAACCAGGAACAGCTGCATATTTAGTAAGCAACTTATGCTATGCAAAAATACATTGTTTGTTAAACTAAACATTGCAGCAGAATAAAACCCTCATGAATCATTCCATTCTGAGGCAGTGTTTCAGACCTGAAAAGGAACCACATTTGTGTGGCTGAGCAGCCTTGCAGTACCTCTCCTAACTCAGAATTGCTGCCCTCCCTGATTAAACTAAGGCCTTGCAATTTTAAAGCATTTTTTAAGAAAGGTTTTGCTCTAATCAGTTAATACCTAATTTATTGAGTTTCAAAAGACAACTTTCACAGAAGTCAGTCTTACATTTTCACTCCACAAAAACCTTGATGAACTCATGTGGCTGGCTCAGAGAGCTGGGTCTTCTTTTCATTTGTGCATAGCTAAAAAAATTGTTATTAAATTCCCTTTGCAGGCTAAATTCCAACTCAGTAAATTCTTGAAATCCTATAGAAGAGTACTTATAAAGGGTGCTCTGAAATACAGAATACAAGAAAACTGAAAAAAGCAAGAATTAACAGTCTTTCAAGAGTGTGTACTTGGCTGTATCTTTTTCCTCCAATTAGATATGCTGGATGGAAAAGGCACCACCTTACTAAACAGCCGATGTATTGTTCACAAGAGAAGAAGTGAAGAGAAAAAGTGAGCAGAAAAAAAAAGAGATCTGTGTCTCTGTGACAGTGACTTTATGAGCCATTTCTTGAACTATGGTCTTTTACCTCTTTATAGCCTCCCAGACTTTAATGCCATCATCCCGGTAGTAGTAGTAGGGGATATCCTCTTTGCTGTCCATCCCTTTAGCTTTGATCTCCTCTGGGAAGCAGAGGGAACGGTAAGTCAGATCTTTCATTGCTTTCTGTACCATTTGTACATGTCCTCCTCCACCTGTAGCATTTGCCTGCAGGAAGAATGGCAAGATGGGAACAGTGTTCACTTTGTGCCAAGACTGGTTTTCCAAATTTGCAGGAGACAGTATTCAGAGTGCTGATGAATCTGTTTTTCAAGGAGAAAACCATATCTCCACACAAAGTACCAAACTGCAGAGTTCTACTGGAACTTTGCATTTTCACTGCAGAGATTTCATACCTCTCCCATGAATCACTGTTATGAACCACATTTTCACCATAGGTACAGCAGCTGCTTATACTGGAGTACAGCACCATCAAAGCATGGCACTTTCTGCCAGCCCTATGCTCCAGAATCAGTGCACGTGTGAAGGAAGGCAGCCATGAGTGTGTCAGATGAGGGCTTTAGCTAAACTATGCACTGCTGCTACAGAGTAGTTTAGGAGAAAATGTTTAGGGATGAAGGCTATCATTAGCCACCCTGGAATTTATGCCTGGACATCAATCCTGCTGGGTGACTACTGATGAGGACTGGCCAGGGTTTCAGTATATTTACATTTGGAAAACACAGCATGTCTACAACAGACAGCACTTCAAAACTCTTTAGATAATCACCACACAGAAGTTCCCAAATGTTGCTTTTCTAGTATATGATGTGAAAAGCAGCAGCAGTCACCTTACACTTACTGTCCTCCAGCTGGTTGTTCATCTACATTGGAACCAAGAAACTCTGGAACTCCAGGACCCTTGCTGGCAGGTTTTAGCCACACACTCTTCCCACATGCATGAGGTGCGGACATGATGCTTCTGTTTAAAGGGATAGGAGGTCTCCACAGTCTGCAGTGGAGTACAGATGACACAGAAGGTGGCTGGATTTAACCTCTCTATTTTGCTTGGGTGAAAAACTCCAAGGCAAGGAAGCTATTTTGGCCTGGTGCAAGTGGTGTAAGGAAGACAGAGTTGTCCTAAAACAGAGGCTCCCTCTTTGAAAGGGCTTCTGAAACCTCCTCAAACTTAACATTTACTCCTAGCATGTTGTTACAGAGACTGCTCTGTGCTGACTTACTGTGGTTCCTAGATCCAGCATTCTATTTCTCCCACTTAACTTGGGGTCATCTGTCAACTGACTGAGGATGCACTCAACCCCTCATTCCAATTGTCGATAAAGATATAATATATTGCTATGTTTCACTGGCTCAGATGAAGCTGAGATTTAATCCTAGCAGATCTGCTGTTTATGGCAACTCAAGAAGACAGGCTGGAATCTACACCCGCTATTTGTGGGCTTCAAAATGTCTTACCTATGTGTCTTTCAGTGATGAAGATTTCAATTTGCAATTTTTATTCTCACTGAGTACTTAAAAGAAATTTGGGACTTAACTGTGTGCATACGTGTACAGAAATTTATGTGCGCAATATGATGTCTTGCACTCCTATACTTATAACCCAAAGTCACATCAGCAATATGTGAGATACTGACTGACATTGGCCAGTTCTGATTTGGCTACTTAGAGGTGAAAGAGAATATCTTTAGGATAACAAGCCATCAGTTCTGTGTGCCCGTTTCTCAGGTGATATTAGTTATGTCTGCCCTTTAGTAGCAAGGTCAAGAAATAAGGCAATATGTGATTAACAAAGGATATGTACATATATAACCACAAAGAACAACAAAGAACCCTGAACAAACATGAACAATGAAGATTCACAAAGAGGATTACCTACCTTGTCAAAAAGGCCACATTCACAGATAAGCTGTTCTCGGGCTTTGGTATTGATGGCTATTGTGAACCGCATATGTGGCACCAAGAGCTGTGAAATGGGACAAACAATGACAGAAGGCAAATTCTCAGACTGAATTCAACAGCAACCAGATGTAAAGGTTGAAGTCTTGGAGGTCCTGGTAGTTTAGCTGTACCTTGCCTTGTAGGGCAGCCAGTTAAACTATTTCAGCAGAACTATCACCAGAACTTCCTTTTGGTTTGTCAACCTGATGTGATAACCACCCTAGCCCGCATACACCCCTTCATGCAAGAACCAACCTTGAAGAGGGGATGTACAGCAGGCAGCTGCCGGAACATAGCTATGCTGAACACCTCTGAGACTAAGTGTGTCCGTAAGAGGTGGGTCACTGTCTGATGGATGTGGAAATCAGATGAGCGGACCCAAATTTTAGCCAGCAGCCAATCGTATGTGGCATCTGAAGGAAGGAATATGGGATTGTCTGGCCCAGGCTTTTGACCAAGCTGAAAGATACAAAGAACATGAAATCCCAAGTATTTCATGTTTAAAATGAGACAACAAGCAACGTGTCCCTTGAGAGACACTGACAGTAGGCCCACCTGGATTGCAATAGGTACAATTTTATTCTCCAGATTCTTATACAGTAGACAGATGGGTGCAGCCAAGTACTGTATTGTGCATGGGTCTGTTTTATTGGCATCCACACCATCAAGGAGCTCATAGTCCACAATGAAAATGTTTCCTTGCTGGGGGGGAAAAAAAAAAAAAAAAGGAAGCATGATGTGGTTTAATGGTGTGCAAGCAGCAAGGCTTGGAACAAAGAAATGAGAAGTTGAGAAGTCTTGGCCAGAGACTGACTTCTGCCTGGTGGTTACAAGCTACCACTGGCCTGCCCTTGCCCTTGCTCATAGTGGCTCAGGGATGATGCCATTGAGACACCAAGTACCATCTCACAAACTGACTGACTTGTGTCTGCAGAGTCTGACAGTGAGTCTTTCAGCAAAGAGCATCTATGTGTTTGGCTCTCATGCAGTGACACTCAGATGTAAACAAGTTTCACACTGCCAGTTGAAGAGAACCCTGTGCTCACTGTACAAACAAAAGCGAGGCACCACCCTTGTCAACCCTTCTGCAGCATGTTAGTTCAACTCAGCAGGTGACAACAGGGTAAGACCCTACCAGGAAAGGAAGAGACACTTTTCCCCCCTGAGGCATTCAGTCAATCTCTAACCTTTTAGAGGAAACCACTGAGAAAGGACCCTTCACTTCCTGGTTACAGCTCTTCCACTGGACCTGCAGAAAGGCATGGCCTGCAGCTCTAGGATAGCAGGAGAAAACAGTCAACAGAAGTGCTGCCAGTCTGCAGAGACAAACGGCTTTGCCATGACCAACCAGAAAGCCTGAAGAGAGATGTGGCTGAAGCAGTTAGAACAGAGTTTGGAGGTTAGAGAATACGAGAAGGAACGGGTGCAGTCCAGCCTGATCCAGAGCTGTACCTTCACTTCCTCTTCCAGCGTCAGGTTCCTCTCCAGACTGCATTCTACCATATCCATAGTCACAGGCAGCTTCTTCGGTATCTCTGTGCATCTCTGTATCAGCACAGGATTACATCCATTCAGGAACTGGTAGCCAAACATAAAATCTTCCTTCCAGTGCTGCATCACATATTCTAAAGGAAAAACAAACCTGGACCATCAATATTTGCACTGCATCAATGTCCTACTGTATTGTAGGATTCCTCCTTTCCCCCTCACTTTTTTGTTATACTGCACTCCAACTTTGACTACAGAAAGTAGTAGAAAAGGATTCAAAAGGTGACACAGAATTTTAAGAAAAATCACTTAAGTTAAATGGAAAATTTAATCTTTGCTTCTCACTTTAAGAAAAAATAAATTGATAATAATTTGTTTCTCCATGTACAGAACCAATGAGGAGCAAAATATTCCAATTCTATGAAAAATACTCTCTTCATCTGCAAATGAACTTCTCAGGTCTTCCATTATATTTTGAAATCTCACTCTTCAAATTCACAAGGCATATGCAGTACAGAGGGATAAGTCCAAAAACAGATGGCACAGGCAGGAGAAGGGAAATACACAACAAGGTGTGTAGGGAAAGAACAGCAGCGGCTGGAGCAATTCTCTTAGCTGGAGCTGGGTGAGGGATACCTGGGGATGGGTTTGGATTTGGCTTTCACTTAGTAAAACTCCTCGTTCATTATTTTGCTTGTTTAAATTTTTTCCCTCTATTTATTTTTCAATTGCTAATATAAACCCAGATTAACATATCAGTAAAATTCTAGTCTGGGGTATTTCATCTCTTTACTATTACATATGTAGTACAAATGGATGTTTTCCATAGTTGCAGTGTTCTGTTTCATAATGTCATGTCACCACTTCAGTGATGACTGATAGCCATCAGTTTACAAGTTCAGAGTCAGAAAAAACATGATTATGTGAAAAATCCCATTGGTGTCTTCAGGGGAAAAATTAAGCTAGTAAAGTTTTCCACTATTTTTTATTTTCAGACAAGGCAGAACTTTTTCTGAAAGCAGTTTATTTTTCTAAAGAGGGTAAAAAGATGAAAAATATAGGCCCGAAGGAATGCAGTGATAATTAAAACAAAAAAGTCTCAAAACCCAGAATGCTCTCTACCAAAGCATAAAAACATTAAGTTTACATGAAATGACATTTACATTATCTCTGTCAATTGCATAATGAGTCTGAAGCTGTATCTGAAGTTTACACCAAGCAAAAAATAATTCATCACCTTAGACAGAAACTGCATGACTGAAAAATGCCTTGAACCACCTTCTCCATTATCCCTGTTTCTGCCAAGGCTTGCAAAAATGGCAAATTCAGAATTGCATTAACATAACTGAGACTGACACTTAATGTTTAAATGTCACAGAATTAGAGCTTTCCTCGTGGGTATGGAAATGTTATCAATGAAATTAATTGCAGATCACATCTAATTCTTGTGTTAAAAGTATTTCAGGAAGCAATCTCATTAAATGTAACAAATTGCTGTAGTTAGTTTTTAATAGCTTTGCCACCTCGTGTGCTTGGTTTTATACCCTTGACCACGTAATTACTCTTATTCGCATGAACTGATCCTTAGGTAGCCTGAAGAAAGGTAAAACTTCAGAGCAGGAGGGAAAAGATTTTCCTTTGCAGTCTGAGTAGCCTATTCACACACATTTGAGGAGTCACACACTAACCAATTTATAGTAGCTGTGCATTTATTATATCCAGTAACACGATCCAATAAAGTAACCATGGGTGAGAGCAGAATGTTGGGCCTGGCTCACAAATCCAAAGCTCCCCAGCCCTGCTCTACACAAATGTCATCATGAACTTCAAAACCCGTGACCGTCTGCAATTCTGCAATTCTTTTTACTGGGTTTTCAAGCAACTGCCAAGATTTTCGTATTGAAAAGGGCTAAAGAAAAGCAGTAGTTTGTCTTTTATATATTAATACTACATCAATGGAGTTTTTAGCAGTAGGAAAGACACTGAAAAAACTGAACACCCCTGAAACCAAAAGTGAAACTCACACTCTGAGACAGGGATCTTTGTCTTCTAGTAAGAAGATGTGAGTATGAAATGGCAAGCACAAGCAGGATATTTAATGAAATATGCATAGCTAATTCTGACATATTTTTGACAAGAGACATTTTGGATAAATGCCACAAGCTTTTTCAGCTCGAGCTTACACTAATTTCCAGTAAGAACCACAGTTCCTCAGAGTGTGGTCTGATGACTCACTCTGGCTCAGCAGGACCAGGTGAATGAGTTACAGTTCCCACATCACTCTCAGCATTTTGCAACCCATCCCCAGATCCGCTGGCCTAACAGCATGGGCCTTCATATCTGAGTTCTGTCAAAATAATCCCTGTGGGGGAAAATATACCCCTGGAAAGCACTTGAGCTGCCCCATGTCACTGACACAGATGGCCCACAAGAACCAACTGAAGGGAATTACAGGTCTTATGACAGCAGAACCAAGGCAGCAGCAGCATCCCTGTGTTGGAACAGGGTCGAGAAGCCGGGACTTTTAGCAGCAATGCAACTGAGCACAGGGTTGGGATATTAGGCAACAGTCTTTGATCTTGTCTGTCAGAGGCAAGAGGCGTCATCTTCACACTTGCCCTTAGCAGAGAACAGTACCAGACTTGCCTTTTTGGAGATTTTCCATGTATTTAGATGGCTGAAGTGGGACATGCACAATCAAACTTTCAAAGATGCCTTAACAGCTAATATGATCTGAAAAGCACCCCCACTAAACTATCTCTAGGTTTAGATGCAAAATACTTAATAAAATATATCCTATGGGACTTGTACATACTTGAAAATACATTTCTAAAACCCAAAAGGGACTATGATGCCCAACTGGACTGACCTCCAGTATAGCTCAGGACAGAGAAAGTCACTGAGCAATTACCAGCAATTTTAGTTCCTTGTGAGATCATATCTTTGTTTTTCAGTCTTGAGGGTTGATGGTATGATCTGCAGTCTGAGATTACAGTTTACTTACTGGAGAGCAGAGAGAAGGTCAGCCACTTCCATCCTGATCAGATATGTACAAGATAATTAATTAATCATTCTATGACACAAATATGAGTAAATGCTGATAAACCCACCAGAGATTGTGTTGCTGATTCTGACAAAGATCCTCTCAAAATCTGCAAAATCACTCCAGGAGGACTGGAACATGTGCATGAACCGGTTGATATAAAGATTCTCCATCCTAAATATACACAAAAATAAAACATATCTGAAAAAAATTATCTTCAGTATCCTCAATACCCTTCCCCATTCTTTTCCACCCTTTTATATATCTAAACACAATAAATTTTTAGCAATGGAATATGGGATTGGTCACCCTACAGAATTAAATTTGCAGGCTGTACCTTTACACACAAGCCTGAAAGGCATATCAAGGGCCCAGCTCCTGCTATTGCACTTACAGAACTCTGTTCTAGAGTTGTTCTTGGCAGCCTACAACAGCAGTGCTTTAGGACCTATGTCATATAAAAACTACAGTCAGAAAAACCAGTGCTTCACATGTTGTCAGTAGTTAGCATCAGCTGAGACTGCTGAGATGATTAACACCAATTCAGAAAGGGATATGGTAACACAAAGAGACTGAGTGATGTGCAGAACAAGTGAATTCAGAACAAACACAACCCAGGATCAGTCAGCCACTATTCCTAAACAGCTACTGTCTCTATGTGATCAAGGCCAGACTGGATCCGTACAGTGTGAGACTTGAGCTTTTGAGAGCTTTCTATTTACTTGAGCTGCTGGTTAAACTTGGCCCTTAAACCTCAGAAACCAAATCACTTGGTTGCAGACATCACATGAACACAGTGGGCTGGGAACCACATATATCTCATTTAAAGTGCAAATTCAGCAAAATATTCTGTCTACACCACAGCTGAGCAAGTCCCCTTTATATGAGATGACAAGTCCTAAATTATTACATAAACGCTAAACTGTTGTTATTAAATAGAAATCCTTTACTTTGACCAAAAAGCAAATAATGAATTTGGAAAAGAAAGCTGGTTTCCCACTAACACTTCAAATGCACACACAGCACACAAAGATACACAGGGCAGATGACAGAGTAAAGAAAGGTCACAGTGTTGCAGGAAATTCTCCCAAACAGAATTTGAGGGAGGAAGAATCCCAGAAGGGTGGATTTATCATCACTAAACTTATAAAAAGGCTTGGATTAGAACTGGCTCAAGAGGACCAAAAGTCTGGAGAAACAGCAAGTGGTAATCCGGAGGAGGGCTCTAGACCAGCATGACCATAACCCCCACAAAGGAGCTGCTTCTGCACTAAGCCCAGATGGGGTACGTGTAGAATGGGTTGTTTCTGCTGCTGCAGATGGCAGTCAAGGTTAAGAGGTGTCTGGAGGCATGCTAGGAAGGGAAACACACAACTGTCTAGGCTAGAACAGGACATGACTTCTCCAGAGGTCTCTTGTAACTACTGGGCAGGACTTTCTGGGTAGGGACTAGGTATCTGAATCACAGATGACCTTCCAGAGGAAGTATGACCATCACCAGAAGTTTAAATTATTTTAAAAAACAAAACTTGGTAGCTTGAGAAGAGTTATTTGAGACTGTCTTATTTTAGAGTTTCCACTAAAGGTCCTGTAGAGCCTCTGCCCTCCTTCAGAACGGTCTAGGATTAGAAAACACTTGACACATGAACTGATATGTACTGCTCCTCTCCTGTTTGTCTTAACTGAGGGTACTGATCAAACCAAGCAGTAGGCACAGCACCTGGGATCTAGTCACAAATCTGCTGTGGTTTGACCTGCTGAATGCCAGGCACACATTCATTCTCAGGTGTTTCAAAGATTTCTTCCAAAAGGAGAAAGCTTTTCACGTTTCCTATTTCGGAACAAACTTCTGAAGAACTTAGAAAATAAAACTTGCTTTCCCCAAGAAATCAAATATTTCTTGGATATGGCACATACTAGAAAACAGAGCAAGGTAAAAATGGCAGAGTTTCTTGCAGAACTTAATCTGCCCAAATGCAACACTGGTCCAAAATAGCAACACAAGCCTGTATTTCTGGCACAGAATCCAGGCTGAGAGTTTCCATTTGCTAGATATTATAGGTCATGTCAGCACTGGAGACCTTCAGAATTATCTCCACCTACACACAATTAATCCTGTAAACTTACAGAGTTATCCACTGCCAATAGCACCTAAAGATCCAACCTTGCAACAGCATAAAGAATACCTGAGACATATCTCCCCCCTTCTAAGTTCATTTTTGCAGTCCGAGTAAAAGGCCATTCCCCTCCCCTCTTCCACTACTCCCTATGTCTCACATAACTCTCATAGCTGTCACATTTTTCCTTAAATGTGCTACTTTCCCACTGCTACACTTTGCAACTCTACACCTTCCTTTGGATTTCCAAACACACCTCCCTGTCTTCCCTCCTACTGCACTCAAACTGAAGGCAGGACCCGTGCTTTCCCCCATGTATCTCCACTCCATTCCTGCAGATAGTTGCTCCAAGCTCCCAGTGTATATCAGGGTAGCTAGATAAGGGCTATCAAACTCATTCTTTGAAGATTTTCACAGATCACTCAACCAAAATCATAGGTCTAGATTTTTCAACAAATGTGCCAGACAAAAAGCATTGCTATTCCTTGGAAAAATCTCTTTTGTGTCATACCAGTTATCCAGAATGGCTGGCTATCTGCAATACAGTTTCAGGTTCCTCCTTCATGGGGAGGACCCCTTACAGCCAATGACAAAGATAGATGTCCCTGCACTCTGCTGAATTGCTTCCAAGTTTCACTTGGCTGCAACTCAGGATCTCTGTCAACATGCCACAGCCTGGCAAGATAGGATTGCTGGAAGGGGAATGTAGCCTCCAAATTGGTTATGTGTCCTAATGGCAAACCTCTCATCTCTGGCATTCAGATGCTGTTGCTCCTGTATTACTCAGATCTTCTATATGAGCTGGGAAACAGGTGTTGTGCACTGGCTAACACTATGCTAGAATCAACTGCTCTTGGAAAACACAGGACCTGGAGAAGTCTGGAATAACATGCCATTGCCAGGGCAAAAAAAGATCTCAGTGATCTTGCATGGGGTTTTGCATATTTTCACACCTTTCACCTCTTGCTTAGAAACTCTTCTTGGTTTTGCCACAGGTTTATTTACAGAAGCACAACCCAATAACTACGATGGAATTTTCCCTTTTTCAGGATGGCCTCACCCCTGTGTCTGTTTCATGATGAACAGGCTGTACTGTTGTTCCACCTGATTGAACCTCAGAGCACTCCACAAATACGCATGGGGTCTTCTCTGATATTGCATTAAAAAGGTACAAAAGCACACACTCTCTGGTCTGTTCTGTCATTTTCCTAACATCCTAGCTGGCAGGAGACAGAAAGCTATAGACCCCAACTCTTCAAAGCTATTCATTTGCCTTATTCCAATTAGCTCTGAAAGACTGAGGTTCACCTAGCCATGTGTGCTGCAGAAAGACACCCATCATCCTGTTCACACCTGCTGGACATTCATTCTGCTAAAAAAACCCAAAAACTGTTGAGGTTACAAAGCATCATTCTATTGTGAAAAACAGATCCTAGTGTGGTGAAGAGAGGAGGGAGGAAGAAATCTACAGCAGAGCTAAAACAGACAGAAAAAAACATTTGTTCTTTAAGGCTTCCAATATTCCAAATTAGAAAACAAGCATGTACGTTTTCTTGGAACAAGCCATGGGATTTGACTCTGTTGGTAGTGGAATTCAACCGCATAAATGTAACACCCAGAATGCTCTGACATGTAAACACCAGTCTTGTCTCATGTCAGACTATCCCACCACCTAATATCTGAGACACTGGGATGTGACCTGGGCATTTGAGACAGCACAGAAGGAAACTTACAGGTCAGAAAGGTCCTATTTGCCTCATTGACCCTGTAATATTCCAGAGCTCTGCAGGACTGATTATTCAGGCTCAACCAATGGTCATCCAATGTTTTTCTCAATTACATAACATGTGCAAGCTGGTGGACAGAGACTTTGTTGTCCCACGCAGAAAACACTCAGATGAACTGATGAACTGCTCAGCAGGATGTCAAGGGTGCATTGATAGCATCTTCTTTGCATATGTGACTGAAAGGTTTGATTATCAACAACAGTCAGATGAGAGAGAAGTATCTCCAGGGGGAAAAGCTGAAAACTAAGCCAAAAGCCCAAGGTCTGAGGGGCCTACAGTCCTTCTGCTTTTCACCAATGCTTCCTCCATCCACCTACAGCCAAAACCATGTCTAACAAGAATCCAGGGGCCCACTGTGAAAAGCTTAAATATTGATAATTAAAAAATAAAATAACATAAAAAATCCATTCAGTTCTTTCCTACTTTGATTGAGCAATGATCCAGCTGGGAGAAAGGAATCCAGTTTTGAGATTCAGTGAAACCTAAAACATGATCAGATCCATATCCTGCCCCAAAAGAGATTCTGAAAAACTCCTGAAGTCCCACAAACACTTACGCTTTAGTGTAGTTCAGAATGAAGTCAATTCCCTTTTCATTGTCAAACTGGATGTCACGAGGCAGTTCACTGTGAGAATGGGCATCGATGCTCAGGGGAAAGCCAGGATGCCACTCCTTCCAGCTGAGAGAACAGAAGAGGTTTGATCAACCATATAACCTTACCAGCATGAGAGCTGTGACTTTCCTTTACCTACTCTGCTTCTGTGACTCGCCCCTATAAAGGAAATTTTTTGCAGACTCAGGCCAAAAATAGTGACTTACATCACATCAATACCTACGAGTACCTTACAGAATCCTCAAGCACTGCTTGGCCATCTACCCTCACAAAGCTTGAAGTAACTTATATCTGCGGTATTTTTAAACACTTGTCACCTTTGACTGAAACTGGCATTAGCTTCAAATGCATTGGGGGGGAGGGGACAGAGAGACAGACAGGTGTCAATGCACACTCATTCTTGGGGCTGCATTTTTGCAGAACTGAGATCCGGCAGCTAAAATACTCAGACATGTATTTAGATTCCTTCAAAAGGCACTCTCCAGGAGACTCAGATACCCTTGATTCAATTCCTCAACCTCCTAATGGTCATGGTACACATTCTCTGCTCCATTTTTATTTCAAAACAACAGAAAGTGAACTGTAAAAATAGTGTTTCAGTGGTATTTCCAAACTGCCTGCTACACACAGACTGCATTGTGTGTTATCAGTTATGCATCTGAATTGTAAATAGCTATTGCCCTGAAATTGCAAATGATTTTGCCTTCCTTCTTGCATACATAAATAAAATTTTGTGTCACACCTCTTTTCGAAACATATTTTTCTCTGCTCTATTTCCTGCAATTTGTAAGTAAGAGCCTTTCTTATTCAAATGATATCAACAACACATGGACCAAGCCTCAACCCATCAATTCTGAATGGACTCTCTACCCTGATCCTTATTCTCATGATAAGGAGATGCAAGTGCAAGAAACTTTTGTTATTTTAACAGTGTATGTTTCTTGCAGAAGGAAACGTCTAATGCCTTCTGGAGTTACTAGTTTATAAAAGACAGCATTTTCTCATTGTGACACTGATTAGGAAAAAATACCTATTACAGTTTTAGGGTGGGTATCACAACTGTGTTCTGTTAGCACATTCCAGTCCACTCAAACAGGGACAGATTTTCCACTGCACCCTAATGCAGGAAACAACTATAAGTAGCTTGCTGCAGCAGCCAAAAAGCTCCAGTCAGAGCTGACATGTTCACATCATGTTCCAAAACTGTAGTACCGCTCGTAACAGGCAAATGAAATATGCTTCCAAATCTTCCTTGAAAGCACAACTGTGTGCCAGAGGGCCCACAATTAGGCTGTATCACTGAATTTCCACTTAAGCCTTCCAGACAGTCTTATCTGAGATTCAAGTATCTTGTAATGTCCCTTGCACTAGGATGATCATCACTTAAGAGTGAATTCCACCTAAGTAAAAACCAGATATGGCCAACATGGTAACTTATGCTTTCTCTTATCCAGGAGTTGAGTAATTAGAGCCATATGATAATCTGAACATACTCTCCCAAACTCTGAGCTGATGAGAACAGACCCTGGACCTTCTGGGGAGCAGCAGGAAACTCACCGGTACATTTTCTGACGGGACTCAAGCTCTTTGCGTCTGTGCTGCTTCAGAATCTGAGTCTTGTCATCTCGGGGTAGCTTTGCTGTGAAACAGGGAAAAGAGACAGGGTTATGAGGTTCCCCCACCACCACTGCCCAGGTGTTGAGAAGGACAGCAGAGTTTTCAAACCTTCAAACTTTTGATCTATACCTTTACAAAGTTTCTGTGGAAAGTGCTTTCATGATCCAATTTAGTACTTTGAGTAGAGACACAGGTCCTTAATAGAATCTGTGGAAGGAGATAAGCTCCTAAATTGGTGCCTCCAAGGGGCAATTAGCTCAAGCTAGGAACATCTGTCTCAACTGTATATACAACCTGGATTCCTAGTGTAGACACTTGCTGTATGTATCTAGTGTTAAATGGTCTGAAGAGGGTCATGGGAATTAATTTTACAGTTCAGTATCTAAGGGAATTTTCATCAATAAGAGAAACCACAATATTGTTCCAGCTCATCTTCTCTGCTAAAAGACCTCTCCAGGAAACATCACTGAGCCTCCCTCCTGAGAGACAGCTGTGCTCTCCCCATCAGCGTGGAGCAACAATCCTATCTTCCTGTCATGAGAACAGAAAGAAAAAACAAAGAGGCTTTATTTCCAGATATTTTGCTCTTCTGACCATGAATTCAACTTACCACTAAATAACACAGAGACTTCCTTAGTGATCAGAGAAAGGGCAAGCTATGAGACTCACTTTGCATACACAAATGAGAGGGCAGATAAAACCAGCAGGAGTTTCATGACAACAGTGGTTTGGGGCTGGAAATATCAGAGATAACACAGTTGATAACATATATGGCTAATGGTTTCCAGCTGATAGTGTTTAAGTTACCAAGAGGGTTTTAGCTGCTCTTGTTCTTAACCTCACCATACTCTGAAAGCCAAGCAAAGCTGTCTTCCATGGAAGTGTTACAGTTGTTATAAACCAAATTATGAAAAATTGGAAGTGCTTCTGGAGACCAAAAATAAACAGATACATAGTTGTAATTATAGGACAAAAGGCTTCAAATACAAAATTCCTCAGCCAGGAGTAGCCAAAAACTTAAGGGCAAGATAAAAATTTATTTTCTACTACCTCATAACTTGTTTCAGCTGTTTTCAAGCACTCATGCTGCAAACCACCACATCAGCCAACCTACCCCAGGTAGCACAGAGGGGAACAAGCAAACATAAATATCTGCCCCAACCCGACCACAGCAAGTCAGAGACAGTTAAAATGCTTTCCTCAGTTGGTCACCAGTACTTGCAGCAGTCATATCCATCACTCTGCCTTGTCCTGGACTTGACAGCATGCAAAGAGGAGTGAAAAGTAAGCTTCTGTTTCAAGTCAGTCCTTGCATCTGCTGACCAGTCTACTTTGGGATTTTATTTCACTCTTATGTAAACAAGACAATTCACAGGCAATTAATCATGGGCCTCTTGGGACCTTAGCATGAAACAACCACAGAACACTAATTCTAATTAGATCAAAAGGGCTTCAGCAAGAGGTATGTGGAGCAGACAAAAATTTGGCATTAGGGTCAGCCCTCAAATTCAAGACCAGTGTAACAAGCTAGCATAAGGATTCTTCCTTGTATGTGCTTCCCGAAATATCCAACCCAACTGCCAGTGCCTACACCAACAAGCTGCTCAGGAAGTATTCCTAGTCAGTAGGGAACGTCCATTCTCTAGGATGCAGCAGGGGACTGGAAGTGCCTCTCCATATGAGAGAGACGATCGGGAGGTACATGGAAAAAGGGGAAGGAGAGAGAGAATTCCAGATGTTCTGCAGGAAATCTGGTTTCTTATGGTTCTCACCTCTTCCATCTCGAAGAACAACCTCCTTTTCATCTGTAATCCAACGGTAACATGGGAACTCCAAATAGTCACCCACTGGTGTTTTAACAGTGACATACTTAAGGTACCAGTCATCCTGGTACCAGTACTTTCGTTTCTCAATTTTTATTAGTTGAATTTCTCCAAGGTCTTCTTCCACAGTCACATCATAGGAGTCAACCTGCAGAGCAGAATACAGTCAGTGATCTGCTGCACATGCAGGAAGCATCACCAGCATTACACAGGCACACCTGGTCTTTCCAGGTTCTGGTGGGTGAAAAAAGGAAGACCTACTATGTGATTATCGCTCAACTCGTGCATAATCAAACATAGCTGAAACTACTGATTGCAAGGTGTCTTGACCATCCTTTGATCTAGCAGCTGGAATGCTGTACGTACGCAAGAACAGGAATGATGTGGAAGAGTGGACACAAAAAAGAGATAAGGATCATCAGTTAGAGTTTAAGTATTTAGACTATGTAGAAAACCAAAACTATAAATCTATCTTTCAATAATGATTAAAACACACATGTGGTATATAATCTGTACTCTGTGCATTAATAAACTGATTCAGCATCGAGTTTGCTGTCTCCGAGTCATACGCTGCGACACTATTATTGGACTGCAATGCAACAGAAAGATGAATAAAAGAACAAACAAGAACAGGCAAAACATTCCAGAATCGGAGAAACATTTTTTTATGTAACCTAAAAATGGTATTACTCCTTGAAATGTTTGCAAGTCTGGGAAAAATATGCAGGCCATGAAACCATCCACTGTTCTCTCTTGGCAACAGCTGGAAGAGTTACTGCTAGGGCACATCTACTCATGCAATTGGAGTGGAAAGATAATGAGATTAAAACATTGGACAAGGAATCTAAAGACTTTTTTATGTTGGTTATATGTACTTCAGACTAAGAACAGTATCCAGATCACCTAGATCCCCTTTGTCTTTTGCTTCCTATCCTTCTTCAGTTCTCCATATTTAAAATGAGGACAATGGTACATTTTGGTTTTGTACAGCTAAGATTTGAACAATGATACATTTTATGTTTGTATGGCTCAGAAGTACAAGGGAATTTAAGTAGCTAACTGAAAACAAGGGTCACAAGAACCCCATCTAGCTCTGGATGCACTTCATTCTTTCACATAAAACAAGCCAGTGTGTGGAAATGTGGTTTAGCTCCTTCTGGAGAGGCCTGACTCCTGCAACACAGTGGGACCTCAGCCCAGAGCTGCACAGTAGCTAGTCTGTTTAGCCCTTTTCCATGCTAAGGGTCTGGTCACAGTCTTTGCTGGTACTGAGCTGGTACTGAAAACTATGGGGACCACCCACACCTGCTCCTTCAAAGGACTTCTCCCATGCCTGCTCCTGATCAGGGACAGGCCCGTGAAATCTTGAGTTAGTTGTCTTTCAGTGATCCAGGAGAGAAGCAGACCAGTCCCAGTGCTGCCCCTACACCAAGCTTTACTGAAGTTTGGGGACTGCAGCTCTGAAGCTCGTCAGGCCGAGGCAGTGAGTGCATACCACACTCTCCCTTTCTCGATGATGGCTCCAGCAGGGCTACAGAAGAAGTGGAAGCTACATGGTCAGGATATGATGCTGCACTTCTTCCCCACACTGAGCACTCCCACCCAGCACAACAGCTGTCATGAATGCTGACCTAAGGGCCTTGCTAAATTGCCTGACATATTTAGGACAGTGACTACAGAGATTACAGAATTGTTAGGGTTGGAAGAGATCTCCAGAGATCATCTAGTCCAACATCCCTGCCAAGGCAGGGTCACCTAGAGCAGGTTACACAGGAACATATCTCTTACGAATGATAGTTCTGGTGTCATCTGAACTATTGGGCACAGGAATAAATAAGTAATTGTTTCAAATATGACTGGTAAGACACCATGTGGTGCTAGGCAATTCAGGGGAACGGGAATCGATTCTCACTCTCCAGAAGTCTGAACAGCTCAGGATATATGGGAGCAGCCAAGTGCTCATCTTAACAAAGCTGAATTGGGTATGGCAATCATGGGAGCAGCAGTCAAAGACTACCTTGCTCAAGTGACCCTCCTAAGCTTCATGTGGTTACAATCAGAGACTTCATTGTCTTGTGGACTGAGCTATATTCTCCCCACCATATTAAAGCAAAAGACATTGAACTGTTTCTTTTAAAAAGGAAGCCCATCGTGTCTTAAATAAAATTTTGCAATGTTTATGTCAATAGCACACCCAGACACACCAGGTGGTAACAAACTGCCTCACAAACAGTACAGCAGTCCTTGGCAAGCTTGGGATGACAGCATCTGTCTGCCAGGATGTGAGCTGAGAGATGAAATTCAGAGAGTAGAGATCTCAAGCAACACATTATAATGTTGCTTATTACTTTTCCTTGCATCTCCATAGCAGAAAAGCTACAGTTGTTTCTGTAAAGCAAATAAATAGAGTAATTTTAAACATTTTTTTAAAAAGTTTATGCTGCAGGCTCTTCAACCTTGCCATCCCATGCTGGAACAGCTAAAAAGATAATGTACAAAGATAAATTAATTCCCTTGATGATTCATGATTCTGAACCAGTGGTGGAGACTGAAAAATGTTGAGTGGCTTTTCTCAGAAATCACATTAACTGTGCCTTAACACAGAACTATCACTGTCAGTGACTGCAGGAAATACCCCTGTACTCCTGACTAAGTGAATGGAGATTCCTTCCTCCCACAATGCCACTTTGAAACACCACACCTCTCATCTTTGCCTTTCAGCCCACACCCAATATTCTCAGCTTCACTCTTGTCAACTGGCATAAACAATTCTGGATGATGGCTGAAAAAACACAGAGAGCATGCTCAGACTGATTCCCATTCTTCAATCTTCTTTCCAGAAACAGGCAGCACTTGAACCATTTCTATTCCATATTCATTTCCCTGCAACTCCTGGTTTTCTCAATAAAAACTGTCAATAAACTCTTCACCAGGCTCAGGTTTCGCACTTAGTCAGTACTTCTGCAATTTTGTACATCTTTCCAGGACCAGATGGCACTTTGCAGAAGAGTCCCTCATCACAGGCTGTCATACCATGTTATCTCAACGTCAGTCACTTCCTGCTTGCGCACCTCTTTCTGCAATTACAACAAAAAATGAATTTTCTCCTTCCATTTTATCATGCTCTTGTTGCATTTGGCAGTCAGAAGCTGGAAGCCTTGCAGACACAGTCCAAACAAATCCACAAACACATGTGAATTATTACCCGTTTGTGTTCATCGTTTTAAAGGGAATTCAAACATCTAAAGACTAATGCAATAACATACAGAAGCAAGTGATAAACCGCATCTGAATGAGATTTGTTTTTTATTCAGCTACTTGAGATTTTTATGCTCCGTCTTCTCACTCATTTCCAATTCTAGGGCTAATTGTATAAAGAGGAAGAATAAGGTGATCAAAACCAGTGTCTGGTTAGGGAAAATATAGTGCAGTATTTTTAGCTCAAATCCATACAAAAACCCATTGCTGCCAGGTGATTAGCGTGGCACAGAAAGTCTGAAGTTAGTCTTATTTTCTCATTAACTCCTTGTTGCCCAAGATATCTTTCATTTTTTTAAATTCATCTCCTTTAAAGATTCAGCTGAAGATTTCATTTTTTAAAATCCACATTTACAGATATATATTTCTAGATTTCTTATAATGTCATACTTATATGTACCTACACGTAAGATTTAAATTAAAGAGCAATGGGAATCCAATCCAAAGAGTTGATAGAAATATCCCACTGACAGCCAATCTTCAGAAGAAACTCATTCCTCTGATAACAATCTACTTGCCAATATTACAAGGGCCCTGAAATAGTTACTGTTGATGTAATGTAAAAAGGACATGCAATTAACCTAAATGCTCCTGAAGGTTTTTAGTCTTTTTATGACCAACACAATTGCAATTTTAACGGCACTTCTGAAAGGCAGGGCTCCCTCCTGGTATCTCCCACAGCTTCTGCTCCTCCAAGCCAGCAATGCCACAGGCTTGCCTGAGATGACAATTTTGCTAATGCAGCAAAGGTGTGTCAGGTTAGAGACAGCATACAAAGTCCAGGTAAGAACTGACAGTTGGTTGCTCAAGGTTTCTATGACATTTGTTGTACGAGGTCTCTTGTTAAAACACCAAGATGACTGCACAGTGAGCCAGAGATGCTATGAGTTTTTATACAGTTTGAATTCAGAGTGAGAGAACAGAATTAATTAAGGCTATGAAGACTATTGGACTGTCTAACCTCCTGTAGCATCCCGTTCAAGCAACTTAATCTCACACAAAACCTAAATTCTCCTTTTGAGATGAAATTCCTACTGACTACCATTATATTGGAAAAAGGAGGGCACAGGCATCCCCTCTTTCTATAAGCAAAAACTTTTAAGTGGAAGGAACTGTATTTCTCTTCTGGAAATACTTGTGAGTGTATTTCTTTCAATAAAAACAAAAAGCAGATGAAGGGAGAACAGGAAGAAAGGAGAGACCTGAGTAACACCATAACACTTGCTTTGAAATTACTCATCACCAAAGAAATTTACTCAAGAGACACAGAGCAAAGAAAAGCAGCCATGACTTTCAACTGCATCCAGTACTTGAAGTAAGTCAGACAAAAACTACAACTGAGCTAATCTTGTGCAAATCCCTTCAGGTTTTTCCACATACTTTTCCCTCAATCAACATTTGGCATGCAAATCTCCTACTCAGAACTGACCCAAGCCCACCCTCATCATATCTAGTAATATACACAATTTGCAATAATTCAAATGAAGACATTACCAGGACAATGGAACTACAGAGCCTGGCCCCACATTTAGAAAAAAACCTGGAAAGCAGACAAAGCCTTACAAAATAATATGGCACAATTCAAGTCATCTGCTAAAAAGTGCATTTGGTTTTGCAAATGTATTAACAAGTGAATCTCTTGGCAGAAGAGAAAATTATAGAGATGTTGTTGAAAGAAGCTCTAAAGGCAGAACTGTGAAAACAGTGGCTACATTTTGCAAACCAACAAACCTCAAAGTCTTCTGGGCTGCTTCAGGTTTGTTTGTTTTTTTCATTGTTTTTGGTTTTTTTGGGTTTGGGGTTTTTTTGTGTGATTTTGGGGGGGTCTGGAGGGTGGGTTTGTTTGTTTGTTTTGTTTTGTTTTGTTTTTTTGGTTCTGTATTGGTATTTTTCTTTTCTTTCCTTTTTTTCTTGCACAACATATTAGTAAGACTCACAGTGTTCTGTGCAAAATGTAACCTGAACAGGTGCCTGGAGAAACACATTGTGCTCCCCAAGAAAACATCTTCAAACTCAAAACTTAGCACATCGTACTGCAAGTGTTCCATGAGCCAGACACTTTATGGAACGCAGAGTTATTCTCATTGTCCACAAAAAATATGTGCTGAAAAAACCGACTGCATATTTGCTGCTACTAAGACCCCCAAACCTCTGTTCATTGCTCCCTCGCCCAGCAGGATGTACCTCTGCTCCTACTGGACCTGGTCCCACTGCAGCTCAAGAACTGCTGATGGACATATACTGAATGCTCACACCATGTCATTTCCTAGTCCAGTCGGATGCTCAGAGTACTACCAGGCTCTTCATCACAGCCATGTCTCAAAGACAGTGAAACCCTCTTTTGTAGCCCAGGAATAAGAGCAAGTTGAAACCCTGGTGGTTGTCTCCTCAGCCAGGCAGGGCTCAGCTCTCTTGGGAGAGCACACTAACCCTATATTTGCAGGACAGTCTGAGGTCTCCTTCAACCTCTCTTGCTAATGTTGTTCAGCTTTGCTTAAAGTATGTGACTATTCACCAGATAAGAGAGAAAGAACAACTGGATGTCCATATGGGAGATTCAGGTAACAAGGGTCTAAACTAATGAACGTTTATCATGAAAGAAAATTAATAGCATCAGTTGGTAAATATCTAGGGACCATAGCTACACATGGCATCAACATCTACTCAAAATGCTGACTTCTGGTAACCATATCTGCAATGTCTAACACAGAAGAGACCAGGTACTTAGGTTGTGAACTCCATGGCTGAAAAAAACATACCTAAAGCAAAGCAGCACCACGACAGCTAAGACTCACTTGCACATGCAGAGATAGGTCTCACTTCCAAAGTGACTTATGAATACTTCTTTAAAACTTTCAAAGTTTCTTAAATGTCACCAGATCTTCTGGAAACTGTGAATTAGGTTTCCAAATGAAATACACATTTTGGGAGGGGGGAAAAAAGGCTTGAGTCTGTTATTTCCACAGTGGACAATAGGCAAATAAATGCCATTCTAAACTAGTGCTTACAGCATAAGCAATTACACATGGATAGTCCTAATACTGTGATAAGACCACAGAGGGGCACAACACATATCAGAAATCTAGGTTAGGAAGAAGAGCATAGCTGATAGCCCAGTCACAATTTCATTCTCACATTTACACATTCAAGCTGGTTTTCAACTTTCAATGAAGTTGCCCTACACATTTCCCTTGGCAGGCATTGTAACTCCCACTGGAAGTTCTTACCTCTTTAATTTTCTTGGAGGTAGTAGGGTTCTGACTACTAGTAAATATGGATTCTAAACACCTATCAAGAGGAAGCACCCACATTTTTTTAAGTATTTGTAAACAAAGTACGAGGAGATCTGAAAGCCCGTTGTAAGCAAGGACCAAAGGGCCGTATCTTTCCCTACGACTGAATGACCACAGCCAGGGCTGCCACCTAGGGCAGGGATGCGGATGACGGGGGGCCGGGAATGCCAGCAGGCATCTCAGTCCCGGTGTCCCACTTCAGAGCACCGGCACACGGGGACAAGAGTTTAAAGAAAGCCCAGCCCTGCTCGGGTCCGGCCCGAGGCACCTCGGGGGGACAAACGCGTTGTCTCGTCGGCGGGGCAGCCCCCGGGGAAGGGACTCACCGCGCCGCGCTCGAAGTCGTTGTAGAAGGGCTTGTCCAGGAGGTGCCTCTCGCTGCAGCCCGACGTGCCCTGCAGGGTCAGGTACACGTAGTCGTCCGTGCCCGCGAACCACTGGCTGACGTGGCCACCGTTGCCGATGTAGGACGGCATTGTCCCCCCGGCTCGGCTCGGCTCGGCTCTGCAGGGCTTCCAGCCGACCCCGACCGGCGCTGCTTGGAGCCGCGATCCTGCCTTGAGCCCGCCCTGCCCAAGCGGCCGCCGCTCTTCCTCCGCCCAAACCGCACGGCTCGGGCTGCCCGCCCCTTCCCCAGCCACCGGCACACCTCCCGGTCCTGCACAGCCCTCCCGGCACCCCCATCACACCTCCCCGTCCTGCACAGCCCTCCCGGCACCCCCATCACACCTCCCCGTCCCTGCATAGCCCTCCTGGTACACCCGTCTCTTCTCAGCCCTCCCGGCAGTCCGCCCTGGCACTCCCGGGCAGCCTGTGCTGCACTGTGCCCCTGTGCCCGCATAGCTGCCCCGCACCCTGCACTGTGCCCCAATGCTGGTACACCTGCCCCGTATCGTGCACTCCAGCCCTGCCTCTCACCCTGCACTCAGCCCTCTCAGTGCACTTGTCCTCCCACTGTGCACCAGCTTCACGCCAACAGGCTTTACACAGCTCTCCAAGCTGTACTTTTAAAAACCTTCCACAATCACACAGTCCAACACAGCGTCCATAGCTCTGCAGCACAGCAGTCCTGCTCCTGCCAGGCACAGTTGTGTGCAGTCCTGCACAGCTCACCTTCGCACAGCTCAGTGTGCCTCACCACCTCTACATGTACAGCATTTCATCTCAAACTGCTCTGCACTCTGTAACCTCACCTCTGAACCACTCCAGTTTGCAGGTATATCTGCTCTTCTACGTGCTTCTTACACACATACTACACTGACCCAACACACTGCACAGATCTACCCCCACGAGCACACTGTATACATCCCACTCTCTTCATCATCCAAAGTTATTCATTCTATCATAGAATCCTTAAGGTTGGAAATGACCTTTAAAATCACCAAGTCCAACCAAGTTCACCATTAAACCATGTCTGTAAGTGCCATATCCACATTTTTTTTTTGATGGGATGGTGACTCACACCATACTGCACCCTCATTATATACACTAAATCTGCAAATCTGTGTACAACTAACCCTTTCCTTAGGGCTAGACATCCATATGTTCCAATGCTTTATTTTCTGTATTTCTCTAAGCTTCTCAGACACCCTGTTGTCTTTGCACTACTGTATGAACACCCACTGCCAGCATATCTACACATCAAAACTGTACATACGCAACCATACACAACATACACTCTCCATTTCCACACAGCCCTCTAAAAATCCCACAATTTCACAGTCCCACCCTGAAAACACCAAACACCTGCTATAATTAAGATGCTGTCATTAGGAACAGAAGAGCTCTCTCTGCTTCTTCCAAACTCCAACTTACCCCAGAGAAATAAACCCATAGCAGTGACACTGCACACTTGGCACCTCGACTCCAAGACTATTAATACTGTTGTCTTGTATTTTCATCAAGTAAACAAATATCACATGCTGTCACCCCTGTTACCTCATTGATAATCTTCCTTCATGCTGCTGCCAGCAGCAGCTGCATGATACCGTGCTAAGAGGAGCCAGGCTGGGGCTTTTGCAGATCGCAGTGTCCTTCCACCATTGCTCTGTGACCAAACCAAGCTCCTAATTTCCTTGCTGTCAGGCACTTTGCCTAGCTGGTCTCTGGGCTTTTGTGAATTTCTAGTGATAGATATGCAGAACAACCTAAATTAAAACCACCTCATAAGTGCCTTACTCGTGGTACTTTTAGACCTGAGGTGCTGTGCTGGATTAATTAGTGTATGAGAGTAACTAGTCAAATCATACTTTGTTAGCACTTTCAGCATGAAAGTCTGCCCAGAGGGGAGACTATGTGGGTATTATGAGCCACCAACCTTCAAATACAGAGGAAGCAAGCAATAACAACAGTTGGAAGTTATTGCTGCCTGTGCCCACTTGTGTTCTGGCAAATCCAGCTGCAAAGTGCTCTGTGCCTCACGAGCATGGCTGCTGTGGCTTGGACTGCTAAGCAACATTGCAAAATATGCTTATGGATTCTTTGCTTCAGCTTCTAAAACTGCAGCTACCCAAGATGTGTTGTGGCCCGTCTTACTTATGTTGAAAGTTACTTACAGGTAGTGGCTACACAGCAGTGGGGACAGCCTGTGCTGCTCTTGAAAGGATCCTGTTCTTTTTTCACAGAAGCACAATGATACTGGCTATGTTCACCCAGACAGGTCAGAGAAGGTCTCCTACATCTTTTCTGGTCAAGTAGAAACTCAACCATTTGCTATATTGTGACTTAGATTTCAAGGCTCTCCCACATTCAGGACATGCATTTACATATAGACATAGAAAAAAGTCAAAACTACTCAGCATTAATTTCTAGTCTACTGCTACTTTTTAAAGAACACCTAGAAGTGCAGAATTGCCAACTGTCACATGGCACACCTGAGGTAGCTGCAGAATCCCAGCCCAGATATCTGACTTCTCCTGAGATTTAAGCAAGGGATCCTTGCTGCTGAACTGCAATCCTTCCCATGGACAATGTTACCACATACAAGTGCACCATAAACTCATTAAGAGCTTCATCGTTTTCATCTTTCCTTTACATAAGATTTCAAAAAACTCTCACATCAGTTTCAGTTTTGCACAAGTACTGTTAGCCCTAAAATTCCTAAATTTAGGTTCACAGCCTTCATTGAAAGATATGTCTGAAACCCTTTTAGCATGCCAAGTGCTTCAGAAACAGATTTGTCAGACACAAGGCTACCTTCTGGGCACCTTCATTTTCACTGCAAATATGGAGCAAAGTGGTGTTCAAACCTTGATAGGTGGGTTTCCACGTTTCATTTCAGCTCTGTTGCAGCATTTGAACCCAGTTCCATTTCCCTGAGTCATGAGTTCTGTTTTCATGCAGTTTGGGTCTCTTCTGTACAAAGATATGACTGGGAATCTCCCTATAGTGTTATAACTCCTCTTACAAACTCATTAAAAAATACTAGATGAACTCAGTCCTGTACATGAAATTTGTAGGAATTCATTTGTTACCTCTCACCAGCCTTTTCACAGCTATGTCTCTTTTTAGTCTTTTAGTACCTCTTGCTTTTACCATGAGGTCCACCTTCAAAAGTTCATTGACATTTACTTTTGGTACAATTTCTAATGCTTCATGAAAACCCTGTCAGACGAAATGGCAAGATATGCAAAAACCAAACCCAACCGTTTTATCCAGCGAGTACATTACTTCACCACTGAGGATACCCACATTCTATGAGACTCCGGCACTGTTCTCTTCCGTGTTATATCTGATGGCTGCTTGATGTCCAACAAGGAAACCACTCTTAGAAATGGCAGTTGGATCCCATAGCTGGATCTGAGGCATGTGTCCTAAAGATTAGTCTGCGGGATCAGACACAGACTTGCATTGCAGGGCTTCCCCTACTCTCCCAACATCACCCTGGATCCCTCTTGGCACAGTGGCTGAGATGCTGGGAAAAGATCGTGCCGCACCCTGCACATGTCACATCTCCAAGGGAGGGAGAGGGGGCGCTTGAACTGCTCGAGCCAAGGCGCATCCCGACCCCGGGTTTCCAGCTTCCTTTTTGACACTACCAACCCACTTCAGGCCTGTGACCATCCTCACCACTTCTCGCTGTTCTTCCAGTTGGTGCATTTTTAACGCATACTATGGAGCTCTTGGTGAGGGCACAGAACCCAAGGGTCTTCCTAGCCAAGGTTCCAGCCCATACCCCCGCTCCGGACACTGAGGACACGAGCATGGGCACGGGCCAGGGCTCGGTCAGCGCACTGCCACCCTGGGGCTTCGGGCCAGCGCGGGAGTGCACCCGGTTAGAGGCTGCCTCCCTGCTTTACCCTCGGCCAGCCCCAACCCCGCCGCGCCGGAGCGCTGCACAGCGGTCTGGAGTGCCGTGCCAGGACACTCCGGTCCCGCAGCGCGGGAGGAAAACATCCAGAAACAGGGAACGCGGGCGTGGCTGCGCGGCTCTGCCATGGGGACGGGGATGATCTTAGAGGTAGAGTGCAAAGTTACCGCCTTTGCCAGTGCGAGAATAGAATAAAAATAGATACATTTTTACTGTTTTAAGCTGGGGCTGCTGTTGTTGGGGGGCGGTAGCACCTGCTCTGCCAGCGTGAGCAGAGGCGAAGGCGTCAGAGCAATCGCCCTGTCACTCCCCCTGGCCCTCGGTTCCCTGCGGCGCGACCGGGCGTGCCCGTGGTGTCGGCTATGCACAGCGGCAGCGCCGGCCCCGGGCACCCGCTCGCACGACCCGACAGCCCCGCCCGTCATCAGCCTGGGACCGGCACCCAACCCCGGCTTACTGCTCCCCAGGTCCCTTTCCTGGGGAGGCAGGAACCGTTCCTACATCACACTGTGCACTCCAGCCCCCGTGCATCTCACCCACCTCGCTCCTCTCGTGAAGATGGTTTCACTAGGCAGCGGTGGGATCTGTGCACTCACATGCAGGGAGCAAGGAAACCGGGCTCTGAAAAGATGAGCAGCTGCTATTCCTGATCTGGCCGAGTGTTGGGGGGGGTGGCTAGGACAGCTCTCTGCCAGGGGCAACACCTACTCTGCCATGGATTTTGCTGCTTGTTACTCACAGCTCCCCTTCACCTGAGCATCCCTCAGACTGGAAACTCACAGCAATAGCCAGCTGCTTTTTTATCTTTGTGCAATGCCAGTGAAAAACAAGGTTGTTTTGTGAAGATGTCACACATCTTACAGCCCACCTGAGGCTGCAGGCATTTTGGGTGGGCAGATGGCCCTCCTGAAATATGCTAATATGGGAGCAGGGAGGAATGATCCAACACAGTAATTAACAAATGACAGAGGGGAGCAGCAGAGCCTACAGAAATTTCCAATCTACATAAATAATCTAAGGGGCATGGGGTGATAGCTGAGAACACATGGGTGCTGATTGCATATTGCTCCACCAGAATGGGGACAAAAACCCCTCAGTGTTCATAGAATTGCCTCTGTCCCATCTCAGTGTCCAGAAATGTACTTAGAGCGTCCTTGCTCTGCCATCCAGGCAGCGGCAGTTCTGACATCAGC